TCTGATTTTAATCAGATATAATTCCTGTGCTGTCAGTGCGAGTGCTGACAGGATGATTATGTCAGGATATTTCTTCCTAAGCGGTATTGCGTTCGTACTGAGATGGGGTGGGGGATTTCGGGCACATTGAATAGAAGTAGTTCAGAAATGCCAAATGATATCAGAATGGTTGAGAGACAGTGCTAAAAAAACAGAAAAATGAAATCATGGAACTTCATTCCATCTTTGACAGCAGTTGTTGTGTCATTAAAAAAGGTTTATATTCCCTTACCGTTGAAAAAAATCTTAATGCATCTAAAGAGAGATGTTTCAACATTGAACGTAACATTGATGATGTTAGTCACAAATGTAAAAATCAGAGAAACAATTGAATAGGGGCATAGAAATAGGGTTCAAAACAGGCAGCAGGTCTCATTTTAGCTACAAAATCCATCACATAAGAAATCCTGTCTGATGAAGTGAGAACTCCTGTGGAAGCTGGTATGTTCTTAAATTTACACTTGAGTGTTTTTGGTTTTCAGTCTTTTCCTACACTGTAATCCTGCTTCCTCTGAAACAGTTTATATACACAGACATGAAAGGTTGCGTTAGTGACAGTCTGTGTGCCTTTCTTGGATTCTGTGACTTGAGTTTGTTTCTTCGGATCTGAAGTGTTCTTAATTCCAGCATAAAACCACATTGAGATGCTCTGATCTCTCTTTCAGGCTTTTCAGACGCGAATTGAAAGTGTGCCAGCAATCCACAAGTTCCTGCAGCCTAACAGTCAGAGGAAGCCACAGCCTGATGAAAACTATATAAAAACTGTGCAAAAAGTTCTGAATTTCTGAAAATTCAACGGCTACCCCAGTATGTAGGCCATCCACTAAATGCAATTAGTCTTGTGAGACTGAGTTTTATTAAACAGAACATTTGAAAGAAATAGTGTTTTTTATTTTAAACAAGTTTTTGCTTAGGGTAGCATGGTGGCGTAGTGGTGAGCATTGCTGCCTTGTGGTTCTGGGACTCTGGGTCCAGTTTCTGGGGTGCTGTCTGTGTGGAGTTTGCATGTTCTCACTGGGTTTGCTTGGGTTTCCACCTGGTGCTCTGGTTTCCTCTTGCAGTCCAAAAATATACAGGTTGGTTAACTGGCCTTGGTGGTGCTGTTGCTTGTTGGGATAGACGCCAGATCCACCTGATCTTGAATTGAAGAATGGATAGATGGGTAGATGGAACTTTTTGATCTTTAAACTTTGGCTGTGTGTGGTTCTTAGTTAAAACCACTACAGATCTGATAATAATGAAACATGGCCGGAGCTGTTTCTCACTTATCAGTGTTTTGCATTCATATACAACTTAGCCTGGCTTCAGCAGCGGTTCTGTGATTGCTCGCTAGTTGTCAAGCTAGATACATTGCATACAGTGCTCCAGAATACTCACACATGCCAGATCACTGCCACATTTATTGACTGAGACGGGATGTTGTAGGCAGGCTTACTTGTGAGAAATGCGCAGTATTTTAAAGTATATATTTCTTCACTTCAGATTTTGCTTTACAATCTCAGCAACTGCAAAACAAAACCTATTCTTTAAGCCTCCTTTCAAAGGCAAGTTTTTTTCAAATTTTTTATTTTTTTTAAGTGCCTCACAAAGCTAAATAACAAACTTATATGAGCATTTGACTTTATTTGGAATGTACAACATTTTAAACAACACTTAAGTGGTAATTCAAGTTGATTTACATAGTAAAATAGCACTTCATACAAGTGTTACAGCAATACAGTTTTGTAACTCAGTAATATTTTTACTTTTATTTTGTTGCAATAAAAGGTCCTATAATTCTGCTTTTCAACAGATAATGTTTGTGGAATTATATTGATTACTATATAGCAAACACTGAAAAAATACATTTCTTTAGAATGATTCTAAAGAATTCAATCATTGAGTCTTTATCGTCTCCATCATAATGCTATTCAATTTAATTCTTCAATCTTAATTAAAGATTGATGAAACTCATTATATCTCAAAGTAAACACGTCATGACAGCCATCTGGTCCTGGTTTTCAAGCACAGCCAGCGCGCAGTGCTCTGTGTGGGCCTGCGGCGCTTAGCCCTGTGCTGTGAACCTACAGCAGAAGCAAGACGACTCGCAGCACCATCAGGACGCTGAAAGGAAAGTGAAGTTTATTCTCCGGAGGCGGGTGGAAATTATACATTCATATCCACTCTCACACAAAGTCATCCCAGGTCTTCCAGTTAGGTATTAAAAGACACAATACTCAAAACCCAGTATGTTGCATTTAAACTTTCAGTGTTGAGGTAGTTTGGCTGCTCTGTTATTTTAAAAATTCAGGGAAATTTGTTCAGACATTCAGGACTAATAAAATAATGATGATGATGGGATTTTACTGGGTTATTGTACTGGTGGGCAGGATTTGTGTTTGTGTTTTAACGGCCTATATATCATAAAGTAAATGACACATTTACAACAGCTCAGTTTTCCAGAACAATACGAGCCCACTGGTGAAATGCAGGCTGCCTGTGTACAAATGCAGTCAACAAAACTACAGGTGTTGTTACCTTAATCCAGTCATAATTCCAGCAGGCATTAGTTTTCCAGATTTCTTGTACCTCATTCCCATCACAACAGACAGAACTAATGAAGCCACTGCAAGAAACAGAAGAACATGTTATGTGTGGATTTCTTTAAGAAATTATACCTGAATTTCTGCTTCACTCAGGTCTTGGACATAAGTGCTGTGGAACAGATGTCATGTTGCTTTAAGCTTCAAGCATGCAGTTTCTCCAGAGCAGCCTAGTGCAGCCAGCAGGGCCCCTGAAGAGCAGGAGATGGGCCTGCGGCCTGAGCTCACCTTTATAATCACGTGGGCTTGATGGGAGCCCGGGCTGTGAGCACACTGTTCTGAATGTGATGTAATTGCACCCCAAGATGGTAATTAGTTCCATGAGAATGGTTCATAAAGTGAAAATTTAACAATTGAAAATCAATAAGATTACATGTAAATCTCACCTTCTGATTCCCCAATCTCAGAAACGTCACAATCATTTTCAAACTAATGTCTGTGTTGTACGAAAGCATTAAAATGACAACAGTATATCTATTTATGTTAATTACTGACCCTTAAACCTAGTTAACGTAACAAACCACTTACCACGTGTTAAATGATGTTCATGTTTTACAGCAGTTAAGGTAGACAAAACGTACTAAACAATACAGTCAACAGTTTTCTTTAATAAAACCTTTAATAATTAAGGTAACAGTAGGATGCTCATCAAAGCTTCTTACAGCAAAAACAGGTTCATATTTCATATAATATGTTTATATTTGCATGTTTTGTCGTAGCAAAATTCTTAATATGTATATATTACTATATGATATATAATTGCATATACATTGCTACACACTGAAGTGTATTCATCAACCTTCAGTAACATGCTCAACAATGATTTTGTTTGTTATAGTGAAAACAAATAATGACAAATTACACCTGAAGAAGGCTCCACGGCCGAAACGTTGCATTTTCTCTCTTCTTTTTTTCCAGCATGGAATAAACCTGTTACTTGTTCCATTACAAATTACCCCTGCAGTTTTGCACATAATCCACTGATTGTACTGTACATGGACATGCCCATAAACCATAACTCATTTACTGTGAGCTCATATATTGAGTGATTTTATCAAGAATGGGATGAAAGAACTACTCATTCTGGTAAGTCTACATTGACAGTCACTACAACGTCTGCTGTATGAAAGCACGAGTCAATATTCTTCACGCAGAACGTGAGAGGAGATACTACCAGCGAGTCTCAACATACTCTAAATGTCAACAAATGCTTGCAAACTCTTCTCAAGGAGCTGCCCTGCGGTCTTGGAACACAACCTTCCTCTCGTTGTGTCGCACAGAAAGACAGTTACGTCAGAGAGTTACTCCATACTGCACATGACACTTTGTATCGCGGAACTGAAAAACACCCAAATCCGGAAACTACAAAGAGAGTGAATTTCATGTGCCAGCAAAGATCCAGCCCTCCCCCTGTTCAGTACCTAGTGCGCTACAATACTAGCAGGGGTGTCTCAGCTAAGTGGGGCTCTGTGAAAGCAATGGAAGAGACAGACAAGGGAAACACACTGCTTCACTGACCCAAGACCGATGGGTGCTGCCACCGAAGTGTTTCAAGACAAGGCCCTTTATAGGCCTTGCTGCCACTGAGATAAGATGTACACAATTATTACACAGGGAGACTCCTGAGTAGTCTAGGGGCTTAAAATGACCAACACCTTTTTCAATCCATCCCTTTCTGACCACTTCTTTCAATTCAGGGTCGCAGGGGAGTCAGAGCTTTTCCCTGCAAAGCAATGGACGC